TGCATCCTGTTTTAAGTCCTATGTGAGTTTAGTAGCCTATCTTGGAGTTATGGATTTTATAAGGTAGTGACAGCCAAAGCTCAGATTTGATATGCAGAAGTCTTTGTATGGATCTCATTTTTTTATCAGAATGACCTAATGGAGGAAATACAGCAAAGTATGTATGCAGAAGACATTGTACATAGGATCTCATCTAAGAGGAGAAACTACCTGTTTCTACCCAGAGATGAGTCTGAGAGTCCCTCTGGAATCTGACAAACATCAGAGAAAAATCTGCTCTGCAACTCCAAGTCTTTTAAATCAGACTGAAGCCTTCAGAAAAGTGTTGCAGGCAGTGAACACATTTGATGAGCCAGACAATTGTTACCATCTTGTTTAATGCTGGTAAATATAAGACTGTCCTTCAGCATCTAAACAAGCTTATTTCTCTCCAAATAGGTTAACTTCATCTTTCCAGTTAAAGTACCTTGTCTATGATGATGTATTTAAGATTTGCTGGAATTAAGTACAATTGTAAAAAGTTTTTCATCCTTTTATCAGTAAAAGTCACAGTCAAAATGGACTTTTGTGTTTACCGAATGTGAGACTTGGACTTTGAGGAGTGTAAGTAAAAAGATTCAAAAAGGAAGCAGTAATCTGCCTGCTCCCTGATAGAAGGTGAATTAGAAATACAGTATTCCTGCAACATAGGCAACTATAAAGCCTGCAATTCAGCATTGTAACTTGCTCATTTAGGTGAGTTCATACATTTATGGAATGTATGAATTAATCTGTTTTACAGAAGAAAAATTTTTGAAGTGTTCATGTGGAGGGAACTTAAATGGACAAAAAAAAAAGGACATTTTTGGGACCTGCCTATGGGCTACATTTTGCTACATTTTCTGAGATGCAAATTTAAGTCTCAGAACAACAAGCTGAATTTCAGTGTTATGCTTTTCAGCGTTTCCTAAATTTTTGCAATAATCATTCACATGGAAGTGTGCAGTACCTTAACTGACTGATTATTTTGTCAATGAAATTAGTACACTATACATTTAAAAGAAAACTAGATCTAAGGCTGCCTTCAGACCTCAGTTTAGAAATTGAAATATGAGTGGAAAGTTTGTGAATATACATAAGAGTCTGAGAGAAGAAACAGTTGGAGTTGGACATCAAACCAAGTAACACCAGATTTCCTAGACCAGGGTGTTGGAATGGATATTTGCACATTAAATTCTCAATTTTCAGCTCTACCGTAGTGTACTTTTCAGCAGCAGTCAGTACTTGAGCAATAGCCATTGCAGTTATATGGAATTAGTGGTGATTAAAATAAGTTAAAATTTAATGATAAAACCCCACAGCATTGCATCGTTTGATATAAAATATTGCCAATCAAAAAAAAGTAAAGAAAAACCATAATAAGGGTAAAGAGATGAGACAGGATTCAGAAAGTGTGCTTTATAAAATCTCAAACCTGGAATAGAGATAGAACTGATAAATATTTTTTCATTTATCTTATCTTGCAGCTGAGAGGCCACTCCACATATTGAGTACTGTTTGCCCAGATTTACTGTGCCTTCTGTACTATGTGACACATTTACTCTGTGGAGGCTACTAAAGGTTAATGGCTTGGTCACAATCTTCTTATTAAATATGGTACAAACACTAACTTTTTATTCATGGGTCATGAGAGAGTCTCAGGGTCACCTTTTTACAGCCTTCTAAATATTGTCTTTAAATTTATGTCTATTATGTTGCAGGTATTCAGCTCCAGCTTCACCAAACTGCAGAGACCATGAATAAAAAGGAAATTCCACCCTTTGTAAAAAAATTGATCAACAGCCACAAATAAATTGTCCTATTGAAAATAGTCTGAAGAGTTTGGGGAATGTCTCTTGACCTTCCTGAAATATTTCTTCTTTAGTATTACAAGGCAATTACCTTGTCACGGTCATACCTGTTGACCCTAATTCTTCTTCCTGTACAATTATTAACATTGGCTAATACAAGCCATTCTCTGAGCTCACACAGTGGTCTGTCAATCAAAATGCAAACTGAAATTCAGGAACAACTACAAAATGCATGTCGGGACACAAATGGTTTATCAGACTGTAAGATACAGGCTTCATAATGTTTCTTGGCACAAGCAGAGGCAAAGAAGCCTTTTCAGGCTGTACGCACTGTTTGGGACATAGATGTGCCAGTAGGCTGCACAGAACAGCCACCACCGTTCAGGAGAAGAGATCCTGTGATGAAAATCCACAGCTTCTGTCCACACAGTCATCATTCTCCTCGGTTTTTTTCTGCAAAACCTCTGATTCATTTCCACTGCCTTTCTTCAATTTCTCCTAGATCCTTTCATGTGCTCTTCATGTTTAATCCTGCAAAAATGAGCCTGTGCCAGATGGCTGCTGCTTCTTGAAAGACATTGCCTGTCCCTCAGTGGACTCACAGAGGTCTTCAGTCCCCCTACTAGCTTTCAGAAAATGTGCAAAGTTCTGGACATTTGCAATCTCTACCTTAATTTGATTTTGACCAAAACTTTCTTGGGGTTTTAGAAGTTATGAGGAGTCCTTGATAAAGAAGATGGTGTTGTGTCTTCTTGCCTCATGGGCATCCTGATTTCCAGGCATTCTGGCAGAGCTCTTTTTACAGCTCCATTCTCCAATTAATGGTTTTATGCAGGAATTGATACAAGAGAGTAAGGAGAGTTTAATCTGAGAAGTAAAGAGGATTCAGAGTAGTATGATGAATGCAGATGCTTTGATAAAAGCAAGAGATGACTTCCTAGACATGACTCCCTAAGAATGCATAAATAACTTCAGGTTTCTGAGGAGAAATTTAATCTTTTATTAGATCGATACGTACAACTGGCAAAAGCCAAGCTGTTTGGGGCATACTTTTATAGGTCTGAAATGTGAGCACTAGTCTCCATAATTGAATACAGGCTGGGAATGACTACTTCTAATTTAACTGACACTACCCATTTTAATCAATGAGAATTTTACTTCCTTAGTGAAGTGAGGAAGAAGGAACTGTTTGATTTTCCTGCATTATAAGATATTCTGAACAGTGTCAGAATTTACTGGAGCAGAAGACAGTAGTCTTGTTTGCTGCAAAGCTTGTAATTTTTCCAACTATCTCAATGAATCTAACAAACTCTAAAAATCCTAGTTTTATGTTGAGCTCTTTGGGCTGGAAGTCAGTTTAAAGAAAACAGAAGTTCTCTATCAACCGGCTCCTCAGGACGTCTTCCATCATCCCCACATCACCATTGGCAAGTCAGAGCTCAAATCAGTTCAGCAGTTTAATTACCTGGGTAGCCTCGTCTCCTCGGATGGTAAGATTGACGGAGAGATAGACAACAGGTTAGCAAAGGCATATAGTGCCTTCAGAAAGCTTCATAAAAGTTTGGCAAAATAAACACCTGAAGAAAAGTACAAAGATCAGTGTTTACAGAGCCATTGTGCTGTCTACTCTTTTATACGGATCTGAATCATGGGTCATCTACCATCACCACCTGCGACTCCTAGAGCATTTCAATCAACGCTACCTCTGTACAATCCTAAACATTCACTGGTCTGTTGGAGGATGCAAGTTGTGTGAACAATTTCTATTGCATTTCTGTCAGCTTCACCTTGGCATGGCTGGGTGCAGACAGTAAAAAATACTACTCCACTAATATGGCTGCAGGCCTTGTGCCAAGGTGAAGGAGGAGTTCTTTTGGCAAGTTTTATGGACACTTGCTGTGGTCCAATTAGCAGTGGACAACAAAGTATGTTTTCCTTATGTATCCAATGTAGTGTGAACAAGAACTGTGTGTCATTAGCAGTATATAAGCTGTCTTTCCTCTAATACAGGGGACATTTTTACCGGTCATATTGATCTCTGAGCATTCTGTCTATACCCCTCTGCCATTACTGGTCAGATTATGTAACCAATACATCTGTTCTAGAACAAGCAGCAGTCACAAGTATTGAGGCCATGTTGCTGAGAACACAGCTGCGATGGGCAGGGCACATCTCAAGGATGAAGGACCACCGCCTCCCTAAGATCTTGCTTTATGGTGAACTTGCCACTGGCTGCCGCAAGAGAGGAGCCCCGAAGAGAAGATACAAGGACTCCCTGAAACAACATCTCAGCCTTGGCCATATTAATCAACATAAGTGGGCTACTCTGACCTCCAACCGGAAGGTCTGGAGACACACCATCTATAACGCTGCTGCTTCCTTTGAGAATACATGCAGGATCACTCTCAAGGAGAAAAGACAACGCAGAAAGAACTGTGTCTTGCAGAATTTACCACCTAAGGAGTCTTTCTGCTGTGCCTTTTGCAAACGGACACGCCTGTCTCGTATTGACCTTTTTAGCCACCAGTGCGCTTGTAACAAACATGGGTAGAGACCTTTCCCTAATCTTCGTTCACGAAGCCCAGCCATGATGATGACAATACAATGAAGGATGTAACCAAAACATATTCACAGGTTAGCAGGGATGTTTCTCCAGTCAGTCACACTCCTTGAAATTAATGTTAATGATGCTCAGCACTTGCATCTCACTGCTTTTTTTCAAAATAATTTAATTAGACAATATCTGTAGTAATAGTTGGTGAGGTACTTGAACTCAAGAGGAAAGAGTTGTGGGTTTAGGTGGAATATGAAATTAAAAAGCCACTTCAACTTTCCAAAGGAACAGTTAAAACAATAGACTGTCAATATGCTCTGGCTATTCCATCCACAGCATTTGAGTATGTTTAGATACCTGAGATAACATAGGTCACCTATGTCAGCCAAGTCAGTAGCTGTAGGATCCTGTTTCAAGGTTACAGTAGACTGCAGAAAAATAGTGAGGATATGGTTCTATAGTTAATATTATTATGATACACTGTTCAGTCCAGGGAGCAGAAGCAGACTGCCTACTGAGTCCTAGCTGGCAGCAATTACAGTTTCCTGCACACATAGACAATATCTTTATATTCCTCCTGGGTGATCTGACCCTGCTTCCATGTCTTGTACACTTACTTTTAATGTTTCACTATAGTCAGGAGATCCTTGCTTATCCACCCAGGCCTCCTGACTTTGCTGCTTCACTTCCTGCTCATTGGGATAGACAGTTCCTGAACTGTGAAGAGGCATGTTTGAAAATCAGTCAGCTGTAGTAAGCTCCTCATCTTTCTGAGTCTTTATGTCATGGTGTTCTTCTAAGAAGATTAATGAGATCTGCTCTCCTGAAGTAGAGAATGGTGATGCATTCCCCCCCCTCCCCATTCTCTGCTCTTAGGATTCTGAACTCCATCATCTCATGGCTACTGCAGCCAAGGCCACCCCCAGCCTTCATGTCTCTAACTAGTTCTTCTTTATTTGTAAGCCTGAAGTTTGACAGAGCATCTCCCCTCACCAACTTCTTAATCACCTGTGTCAGGAAGTTGCCATCAACGCTGTCCAGAGAACACTAGGACTGCCTGTGCCCTGCTGTGCTGACCTTTCAGCTCACATTGGAGTGGTTAAAGTTTCCCACAAGAGCCAGGGCCTGAGAACAAGAGGCTTCCTCTAGCTGTCTGAAAAGGTCCTTACCTACTTATTCCTGATCAGGAGATCTGTGACAGATACCACAACAGTGGCATCACTCTGATCTGGCTCATCAGCCATGCCAAAGCAGAGTTCCATGCATCCTCTCTGCTCTGTCACGTAAAGTGCAACTCACTCTGTTCACCATACTGTCCTGTCCTTTCTAAAGAACCTGTAACCATTCATGGCAACACTCTGGTCATGTGAACTCACCCACAACATCTCTGTGATCCCCAAGATTGTCCTGTGTAACTGCATGCAGAAATCCTCCTATTCGTTGCACATGCAATCTCCAATGCCAAAAGTCACAAGTTCCCAGCCTTCACCATCAGAGAAGTCTGCATTTTCCAACATGATAAGCACCGGCTTTGCCTGGCCCTCTTTCAGAACACTTTGAGGCTTGAGCTTGTGAATCTAGAGGATCTCAGAGAAGATCCAACCTTCTTTATGGCATCCCTGATGTTGTGCAGCCTGCTGACATCCTACCACTCCTTTGTGCAGCTCCTACACAGATGCTTGCTCAGCACACTCTTTCTGCAGGCCAGGAACCTATCTCCCCAGCCCCAGTCCTGGTGGGATGCTACAGACATGAGTGTACAGAAAAGGTGAAACCTGTGCTCCAGCCCTCTGAAACCTGAAAGGAGCAGAGCCTGCATTCGAAGAATAAGCAGATTGTCAGCATCAAGCAGGAAGTGAAATGAAAGAAAGAAAGAAAAGAAAGAGAAAGAAAAGAAAGAAATGGAAGGAAAGAAAGAAAGAAAAAAGAAAGAAAGAAGGAAAAAGAAAGAAAGAAAAAGAAAGAAATTGCTGTTACTCTTATAAAATGATTGTGATTTAATCCTAATCAAAAAGAGATTAGGATTTTAATTTTACATTTTATGTGTTATAGTTAGCAACTAACTAAAAAAAAAAAAATAGGCTCAGAGTAAAAGCCAGGGTTCAATATCCTGTAAAGGGAGTCAGGTTTAAAATAGATCTAATGTACCATATGTACTGATTTGTCTCTCTCCCAGAATTTAAAAGTCTATAGTTGAAACCAGAGAAACTGGAGATTGCAAGCACATTTTCTGACCCAGAACTAAAATACTACCAAAGAAAAACAATTAGTTCAGCCTAGTGAACTGATCCAACTCCACTCTGACAGAGCTACAGAGACTTATGAGAAAGCTAGTGAGAGTGACTCTGAGTCTGTTTAGAGTGCTGCCTTAGTACCTAGTGCAAGATGCAGTCTCTTTCAGCTAGAAGGAAGAATGTTTCTAAGAGCAACCAAAATAGATGCTAGTCTAGTGACTTTTTGCATAATAAAATAAAAAAAAAATCCTCCAGGGACAGCTGGTAATTAGAAAGTCTCCAAAACTGGTTCATTAAGCCATTTACTGGCCAAGTACAAATTCTGAACAGAGAAAAAGAAATTACAGTCTGTGTTTTAAATGTTATTACATGTTTTAACTGTCATTATGACCAGCTAAAGGAGCTAATGGTATTAGAATTAGTGCCTGCATCTCTGTGGGAAAAGCAGGCTCAGACAGGGCTCATTATACTGTAAGTGGAATGGCCATTTGTTAGCTATCGATTGCAATTCCAGCTATCTGAAGACTGCTGTGCTGTCAGATGCAGCATGGATGTCACGCCCTTTCTAACAGCTCCTGACAGTTACTGGATACGGAATTCCGAGCACAAAAGCCATGTGGGATATAGGGGACTGTCCTGTCCTGTTGCATGGTAAGAAATATATGGACATCTCAGGGAATGAAACCCACAGCTATATAGCTTTTTCTCAAGGAGGTGGCCAGGCAGAAATAGATCCATCCTTAACAAACTTGCTATAAACACACATATAATTCTGTGTGTATACATATAAATATAAAATGGATATTTATAAACATATATATAATAACATATATAAACATAGACATATAAATCAATCAATATGCAAATTTTTGTGCGCATGTGGGTACATGTATTTATGCTTAACTATGTTGGTATATTGTGGTTAAAATTGATGCTGGGATTTTTTTTTCCAAATTTGAATTGAGAAGGACAATTAACAAAATCGTTCCTCTGTTACCTTACAGTGCTGATGAAGCTTACTTCACCAGTAAGCTTCCAGAAACCTCTTATGGATGTTTTTTATGGTGCTATAATTAAAATGTTACAATCTTGAGGAAGGTGCTAAGAAGTGCCTGGCAAATTATCTGACTTCTTCTGAAACATTCAGCATTTTGGAGTTATTGGACAGAAAATTTGAGTCCTATGAAACGAAGCTGATTTACAAAGAAATGTTAAAAGGAGGAAATCTGAATTCTGTCTTTAGAAATCAGGTCTGTGAATATAAAGGAAGGCTGAACCAGAGTTAAATGTTCAGGTTGCCAGCTCAAAGCCCAGGCCAATTGTAGAGGCAGCAATATAGAGAAGCCATGGCTGTTTCAGATAATACAATAAGTGGACAATATCTGCTTGCTTGTGGATAACACAGCATTCCTAGGAATGATTAATGCTGTGATGCTTAAGGGGCGATGAGATGTAGGTGAACCAAGTTTCATCCTTTGCTTGGTCTGCTGTTGGTGGGCATGAGGCTTCTGAGTCCTACATGAATGTTCCTGCTTCTAGATAATCATCTGTTCTTGGAGGGAAAATCTGTTTCCTAATTTACCCAGGGAAAAATATACAAAAAGCCTTGGGGAAAAAGAAAAAATGCACGAAAGGTGTCAGTTCAGTGATATCAACATATTTTTCAGTCATCCAGTGCCCTGAGACACTACAGGAGCTTTTCTGAATAGTTCCTGCCTTCTGAGGAAGCAAGACATGAGGATGCCCTCAGTCCTACCAGGAAATAAATGCCAAAATGGCATGACTTAGCTTAAAATTTAAAACTCTAAGCCTTTTACAGGTAGGGAGCACTGACTATGGTAACAAATTACTGTGTGTGTGAAATAAAACCAGGACATCATTTCATAGGTCAGTAGTGGATATCAGGAAACAGAAGTGAAATGGGGGAAAATGAGTTTTCAGTGATGAAAGTGTCAGTCTAGAGACTGGTTGGTCAAATTCTTTCTACCAGAATTGTTTCTGATAGAAAATTGTGGGAAGAGGAGATAAAGACCAATCCTAATGAACCAATTTTTACTATTAAATTAGAAAATACTTTGATTCTGAAATGATATTTTAATGCTTGATGGGAACATTTGCTGATTGCCACAGATTCCATCACATTTTTTTTTTATTCAACACTTTCAGATGCCTGACAGTACACAATAGTATATCTCTGTATTCAGCTCCTGTATACATTCCATGACATTTATCCACTTTGTTTATCACCAGGGTAGATTAAGTGGTGCTGGAAGGCTAAAAGCATGTAATGGGTCATGTATCACATGGGTTATAAGCCTTGAAATTATGGGATTTGAGCAGTTTTTTCACAGCCTCCAGGGAGGAGTGAACAATTCTCAAAAAACATGTCAGTCTGCACTGTGAGAAAATCTCTTCTTGACCCTAAATCTGAGTGATCAGTTAACTGCTTTGGTTTAATGTCATTTTTATTTATTCATATCTGTTATTCATTTTGTCAGTCTTTAATTATAAGGGCTGAAGTTTTCCTAGGTGGGCAAAGAGTGAGATAGACATTGCACAGATAACTAATGGGGGGTGGTGTTGGTGATAGTAGTTTATGTTTTATATTACCTGCTTTTGTGATTTAAAGAAGTATTCATATTTTGAGGGTTGCAAATACACGTATATGGAGAATTCAGTTTTCTCCAGATAGTTCTCAATAAATTTGAGAAAAGAGAGGCAGAACTGTCCTTGTTCTGACCAAAGCCCATTAGCTCTCTTAGAAAATTTTTTCCTCCTTCTACTTTCCTAGTTACTAATCTTTACTTTCCAGACAAAGACAGTGACAGCTATTTGATGCTGCTCCCACTTTCATTCTCTACCCCTCCCCTCAATCCCAAATGTTATCTGTTTCATTTGAGTGCTCCTTGGCTGCATCTGTTTTTCAGGTGAATACCTGTAAGTTGTATGTTATTTCTCTCCTGTTCCTTTCGGAAACTGGAAATAGACAATTCTCATGGCATAGATTTAAAGGGATGCTTTTTTTCTTATGTAGTTAGGAAAACAATTGCAAAATACTGGATGACTAGGAGACTGGCTACTGTATTTTTACTGGTATTAACTATCAGTGGACTGCTGCTAAAATTCAATCATAGTTGAGGATCCAGGCACAGTTCCATTAGGAAATGAAAGAACTTTTGCCACTGAAAGCAATACAGCTCTGGTTACTCACAGGCAGCACAGTTTCTCACCAGGCAGGTAAGCAAGCAGGGGAGGATGAGCAGATTAATCTGGTGAATATGTGTGAAGTTGTTTAAGACCATATTCCCTGCAGCTGCCCACTCTATCCCTCTGCCCAAAGCAGTGCTACTCCAGCAGCAAGAACAAAGTGTCTCTCTCCTTGAAGCTTCCTTAGCTCAGCTTCTCA